TGGATTTGGCCTTAAAGTTATTGGCTGACAAGAAACTCATGACTCAAAATGAATACTAATGAGTGTATCTGCTAGATGTGCAAGCTACTGCATGCAAATATGTTGATCATGACATAACTTAATCGTTTAATGTAGACCTCATGTTGTGTTAACAGCTCATTGTGCTGCCACCTGGTCAATAAAATCGGTGTATGCAGCTTCACTTTACGCTGAGTCAGACCTCACGAATCAAGTCGCACTGCGCCGTAAAGACTGACGTGCCTCGCTGTCCTCACATCATACAGCAAACACACTCTCCCAAAAGCTGCGATCTCTCTCTCTCACGTCTGCCGCTGCCGCCCTGCGTCGCTGTTGGCTGTACCCAGCATTCGCATGTCTACTCATCATCACTCCCTAATTTGATATACAATATTTTTGGTGAGTGATGAGCTCACAGCATAAAAACCAAACTTTTGTAATCAACCTACATGCTGGTGCATTCCTGTTTCCTGACTGAATAAAGTGGAAAAAAATATTTAAATACATTTATTATTCTTGTTGTGTTTATCAAGAAGCAAAAGCAGGGTTTCTCCTGCAGACAAAAAAAATTGCGACACAATTATTTGTTTGTTTGTTTGTTTGTTCCACATGTTCTCATTCATTTTTCTCAACATTCTGCACACAATACCCAATAATGACAAAGTGAAATAAAATGCTGAAATGTATTAAAAATCACAGCATAACATGCAGATAAATATCCACAGCTTTTGCTTCACTGCTTTGAAGCATGTAGGATGAATTGTTCAGAAGACTTTAAGGCAACATGAAGAAGACTGTAGTGAAAACACAGTACGGCAGCTAGCTGTTAGAACGATGCGTTCTGCTCAGATCACGTATGAAAAGGCAGTTTTTCTGTTTGTGTCTCATCAGTAAGATTGACGGTGGATTGAAATGCAGTCAGTTCCATGCTAACAGCAAAATGTACTAAATGATTTGAGCATTAGCGCGGTGGCTAAGGTAACATTAGCAATAAATCTGGGCAGTATGGCCAAGAATTCACAATTCCTATTTATTTTTTCCTCATTACATAAACGCAACAAAAGAATGAATTCCAAACTAGTCAAAGAGGGAAGTGGCTTTGCATGATTCATAGTTCAAAACAATTCTTACTTTTCTTTTGTTAGGTGGCCACTCGGCTATTTTTGCTCCTCTTCCTTTAAGGTTTGGTACCGGGCCACGAGAGTTGAGGCTCAGGTGTGAAATGTATGGTTTTCAGGGTTTTTATCGGTTTTCAGCGTTATTTGGTTATTGTTTTTATCGTTAACTCTGTTTTCCTGGGTCTTTTCACGTGTGTTATGAATAAATCTTCTTTTTTCGGTACCGGTACTAGTTTTATTTTGTTGTATTTATCCGCGACACCTTAAAGGCCGGTCCGTGAAAATATTGTCGGGCATAAACCGGTCCGTGGCGCAAAAAAGGGTGGAGACCACTGCTTTACAGGACAGCCTCTCGCCCAGACCTGCTGTGAGTTATTAGTCAAGAAATGGCTATTAGGTCTGCTTTAATTAAAACTGTACACCCTTCCAGAATAAGTAGGATAGCAAACCAACAGTAAAATCCACCTGTTATCTTTTCATTTAATACAAAGAATACACCAGGAGGCTATAGAAAAATCTTAGCACCACAAGATTTTTTTGACTTGGCGTGGTATTCTTGGAATCCATTTCTTTTATTCTCTTAGTAAGTTCAGGTTGTGTCACTGAATAGCACGTCAAAGAAAATACCAGAGTCAGTGACATTCACCAACACCTTTGTTAGATACACCTCTTCAAATTCTTGTTAACACAAATATCTAATCAGCTAATCATACGACAGAAAGGTATGCAGACATGTAGACTTTCCACTGGTCAAAGTGGTCAAACTAAGCATGGTTGTGGGCGTCAGATGGGCTACTCTGAGTGTTTCAGAAACTGTTGATCTGAGCGGCAGCTCTCACGACCATCTCTGTGGTTTACAGAGAATGGTCAGAAAAAGAGAAAATATCCAATCAGCAGCAGTTCTCCAGCTGAAAATGATTTGTTCTTGTCAGAGTCAGAGGAGAATGGCTAGACTGCTTCACATTGGCAAAAGTACCCGTGATTTAACAACCAAGGTGTAACTAACAAAGTGACCTGTAAGTATGCACTCCATGTTCTGTGTTTTGCCTGAGCGCCTCAAACAAATCAAACTTTATAGTAAACTTAGACAGCTCATATCACTCTGCTCATATCTTGATTTGATGCCAGATAATAACAGGTCTAATTAGTTTGTCTTTGTTTGGAGGAGTGTCCAGGTGTTCCTCTTTATGTAGGGCTACACAGTATTAAGCTGTATATCAAATACTTGTTCTTCAAATAGGAAATGGCAAACCTGTAATGTCCAGAGTAGGGATGGGTACCGGTAGGTTCTGACATAAACGGTAGTAACCAGACCGAAAAG